TCCGGTGATTGTGAACGGGTGTGTGAGGTGATTGGGCCTGACAAGGCTGGACTATCTCTGAAAGTACCCCCCGGGTGGCTCCCGACGCCCGCTGCCAACGTCGAGGACGGCCGCGGCCCCGGAGAGCGGGACGATCTGGGTGAAGATCATGGAAGTCTCTGAGGAGTAAGGGATCTAACACATCGTCTCTACACACCCATGATCTCTCCTTGGGGCCGAATCCCTCCCAGTCCACGAGATATTCCAGGCGGCCGCCTCGACGCCGGGAGTCCAGAAGAGAATTGACTCTCAATCCTCTCGCTCTCTCTGAACCAGTGATCCACCGCTGGAACGTCTGAGTGTTCTCCCGTCCACGGGAATAGGGGAGGTTGGTAACAGAGTACACACTGAAACGGGTTGAGGCCGGTGGTTTACTGTCGAAGGGAGTTTTGTGCGTACTCGGCCCAGGGAAGGTAGAGGCTCCAGCGGTTCTGGTTCTGGTGGCAATAGCTACGGAGGTATCTCCCGATCTCTTGGATCTTGCGCTCAGTCTGGCCGTTGGACTGTGGGTGATATCCGGAGGTGAGGCTTACTGATACGCCAAGGAGATGGAAGAAGGCCCTCCAGACCCGGGAGATGAACTGAGGCCCACGATCGGAGACGATATCCTCCGGGATGCCGAAGTTGCGAAAGACTTGGTGGAATAACTGTGTAGCGGTTTCCATGGCCGTGGGTAATTTTCTGAGGGGGAGAAGTTTACATCCTTTTGAGAATCGGTCGACAACTACGAGGATACAGGTGTGTGATTCGGACTCGGGGAGATCGGTGACGAAGTCGCTTAGTTTTTTTTAAAACGCATTATTTTTCACATAATTTACCTTTAAATTCTGCTCTGCAAATGTATTAGTCCTGGGGATGTAACGATTCACTCAACTCACAATTCGATTCGATTCACGATTTTGATTTCACGATTCGATTCGATTCACGTTTTTTTTTTGTTACAAAATGAGATTTAAGAAATTATAAATTAAATGTGTCCTTTTATTTTTGCTTGGACAAAATGCTGCAGGTTTCTTTGTGAAATTGAAATATAACACTATAATAATAATATACTAATATAGCACTTGCATTTCTCTTTTGTTGGTTTTGATTGCTTTTATTGTCCTCATTTGAAAGTCGCTTTGGATAAAAGCGTCTGCTAAATAACAAAATTTAAATATAAGCTAATGTAAATGTAAATAACAAAACTAAATTGAAATTTTAAAACAAGCCCCAAATCAAATAAATAAGTAACACAAATAAAATAAATCTCTTCATATAAACAA